GTAAGCTTTAATATTTTCAGTAATATAATTTAAAATATACATCCAACAGAAGAAATTTTACGGATTTATTTCATATATAAATTAAATAATTCGTGTCACTAACTATTGATCACATATTTCTAAGAATAACCAAAAACAATTATTACTAATCAAATTAAAACAGATCCCATTTTTACATGCTGCTTTTAGATCATTATACACCCTTTGTTTATAAATATTTAAATAAAACACTAGACAAATACGCTATTGAAAATAAAAAAAAAAACAAACAAAAAAATAAACTCAAAAAGATGGTAAAAAAAATTAAATTAAGAAGAAGTAATTATGGGCAAGGATGCCCAAATTTCATATGACAAATTTATCAGCAAATTAAATCTTTGTATATACACAGATGAAACCACAGAAACATTTACTGTAAACTATTGATAACTTCAGCCAGCGGCAGCTTGTATGTAAGGACAAATATAATAAAATAAAAATGTATTAGGTATCTACCCATACTATTTTCAATAAAAAAAATATATATTCCACGTCTATTAATAACTTTCATACGGCTCCTTTGTTTTACTTGTTCCAATCATAATCTGGCAGTCATGTCCCTGGCTTTCAATATATTTTCCGTTAGTTGATATTGCTGGCGGGATAAAAGTTGTAGTGCCATCAATTCACGTATTCGGGCTGTTAGATCTGGCGACGTCGCTTGCGCTCATAAGTCTCAGATACGGAATTTTTATATGGAAGAGGGCTACAAAATTTCCGCCTTGCTCCTATGTAGACAGTGAGTCTGTTTATTGAGTTATCCGGGTTGCTATCAGATAGAAAGCAAGATGACCTACAAACTTGTATACCATCACTGCTTTATACGCGACACCGCGACAGTCGTGATTTGGTGTGTATTTTTAAACAATATAAATTTATTTTAAAGACTAGACTTTTATTGAATTATACAGGGTGTCTCGAAATTAGACGGTCATATTTTAACAGTGTAATCTACATCCTAAAATAAGAGTAAAAGTTTATATAAACATAGGTCCGAAAACGTTTTGTTTCCGAGATACAGGGTATTAAAAGGGAAATCCTGATGGAAAATTTTACTGAGGTCCTTCCTATGGGGCCTCAGTATTGCATTCGTGCAGACGAAAAACTTTTCTTATCCCCATTTTTTAAAACTTTTTTCATGTTCATTCTGAGTCCAAAAATGCAAAAAAAAATTTTCGTCTGGTCATCTGTGTGTATGTTTACCGGCACGATAACCCTAGAACGAAAGTTCTGATTGACTTGCGGTTTTGATTTTCTTGAATAATTACTTCTATCTTAGAACCCTATTGATTTTCAGAATTTTCGGTTCATCCTAACTACTTTAATATCAATTTTCTTAAAATCCGCCTATGCATTTCTTATGTGACAATTTTAGGAATACCAATTATTTCTAATGTCAACATTCCTAACATTCTTTACATTCCATAAATTGCAAACATTCTCTAACGACCTGTCGAACAAAAGCTGTTGATAGTAACGGTGAAATTTCTAAGGCAGGTTACGACCTTCATAATTGCCATTTTGGAGGCTAATTTTATTCTAAATTAGTCGCCAAACCTGCCAATTTATGAAAAATATATAAGAACTAAGCAGTTTCTTAAAAATTACTTTTTTATAGTGGTGCTAACTTAAGCGTACTACTATTTTGCTCCTAGCCACAAAAACATCATCAAATTTTCTGACTCTCTGTCGCAACAACATAGAATAATTAACCGGCCATTTTATTTGGCAAAAATCAGAATAATGCTTGGTTGTGCCTGTCAAGTATCAAGATGTCAACTGTGATGTGTGAATAGCCCTTAAATGTCAAATTATTTAAAAATGTATGCTTCTTTTGATATTTATTGCAAATAATTTGTAGTGTATCTCAATTCGGGCTTTCCATAAATAAAGGTACAGCAAGACAGATAATATAATGTTCTTATACAAAGCTGGTTTTTTTGTAGATAACTTTAATTACACGATTTTGGATTACATATTCAACCAGCGAATTGTAAATAATAATACTGAGGCCCCATAGGAAGGGCCTCAGTAATTAGTAAACTCCTACTCATAAATTTCCTCAATTCATAAAATTTAAAAATGAATTTTCTTATCTTGGGATTTTAATGACGTAATGTGATCAACCCATTTCAAATTTTGATCAATTATGATACCGAGGTATTTTGTTGTGTTTTTTATTTTAATTATAAAGTTGTCATTTGTATGTTGAAAGAAGGTCTTTGTAAATTACATTACTCTCTATAGATCTACTTTCACACAAAAATAGTTTTGTCGCTATAAGTTGCTATAACCTATTGTCGTAAAACTATTAATAATTTAAACATAGTAAGTAGTATTAATAAACCATCAAGTAAATGCGGATAAAACGAGGGGTAAAATAACAATAAATTAAGGGAAATACTTAAAAAGGGCAGGTTTAAACACTATTATCACAAAAAAGTATATCCGTTTTGTTTATTTATCAAGTATTGTTTGAGGTTACTTTTGAATACATTTATTGTTTTTTTTTTAATTTCTGTAGGCAGTCTATTAAATTTTTTAAAACCTTTAATAAAAATTGTATTTTGGGAACTTTTAGTGATGGCTTGCCGTACATGAAAGTCAGATTGGTTTCTTGTATTATAGTTGTGATATTACTAATTATATTGAATTTTTTCTAATAGATCTGATGCGATGGTACTGTCATTTTTATTTTATAAATAAATATCAGTCATGTACTAAACATAATTCTGAATTGAAAGCCAATTTATTTCTTTTAACAGAGTTGCAATACTCATCAAAGGGGTCAATTATTATTGGATAAATTGGATAAACCCTAATCAAAAGGCGATATAAAATGGTTTTAAAAATCAAGGCTTGTGAAAATCATCACATGGTTTAACCTAAGTAATGCCAATACTTCACCAAAAAATTCAACGTCCGAATACTACAACCGGCTTTCGGTCTTTCGTTCCAAATTAAATCATTTCTCGTTTTTGTTACGCTACGAGTTTACCCTTGTGGGCCTTAGTCTCGATAAGGTGGGAACCACCATTTTAGCGTTCTCTCGAATTTGTAAATCTTTTCTAAACTTTTAAAGATAACTATGTAAAATTTGGTACAAGTGCTAAACTTTTAACGCTCGATTTAATGGACTAAAGGCCAGTTTTTGGATGGGTAAATTAGGGGAGGGACTTAGGGTTAAATTGTCCTAAGCTTTTTGGTGACTGTTTTTAACATGTTTGACTACAAAATTTATAATTTATAATAAAGCTACTTTTGTTGTATCTCGCTAGAACGCGCCATTTTTAAGAGAAAGGCATTTGAAAATTTCATGATAAATTAGTAGGCCTGTGGAATCAGAAATTTTTTTTTTTTAACTTTGGAAAACCGGTGACTAAAGAAATTTTAGAAAATAGTTACAAAAATGTGCCATCAGGACTTCATTTGTAACACCCTATATCTAAAAAACGAAACGTTTTCGGACCTATGTTTATATGAACTTTTACTTCTATTTTAGGATGTAGATTACGTTTTTAAAATATGACAGTCTAATTTCGGGACACCCTGTATATGTATATTCAACAGTTTTTCTCGTTATATTCCCTTGTTAAAGTAGCTTGTTGGTAAAAATATTGTTATAAAAACATAGCTACCACTTGTAATGTAAGTAGTAAAGTGTAGAATTCGTGACCGCGATGATGTGGTTAAATTTTTTAAGTTACTTGTACATCGAATCAATAATTTTGAGGAAACAGTGGTAGAACACAAGTATACTTAGGTTAGGATAAACAAAGTATGGTATATTACCAAAATATATTGAACGATTATGAATGAACAGATTATGAATGGATTACCTAAAGTGCTTTCATAAGTTTATAAATTAAAGGTACCAAAGAAGTGGAAATCTAATATAAAGAATGTAGAAATGAATACAAAAATGATTCCTAAGAAACTAAATTAAGTGATACTCACGGTATCGTCAAATTCAGTATTAATTTCTTTTATATCAATACCTATACACACATCTCCAATAGTCTTATCCCCCTGGTAACTTTTACCGCATTCAATGCAACATTTGAAAAGAAATCAGTTCTAAGCTGACATCGAGCATTAAAGTATAAAGTAAATTTGTAATAAAATGCCAGGTCATCTGATTTCTCAGTTTGTTCGGGCAAGAATAGTGGCCTTACATCAAGAGGATTTGTCAGATTACCAGATTGCTGGTCATCTGAATATTTCACGGACTTCGGTAAGGTGCATAGTTGCCTTTTTCCAGGAAACGGGCGAAGGACGGTGACTGGTCGACCCAGAGTGACATCAGAGAAGGAAGACGAGTATATGACAAATTTTACCCGAAGTATAACGGTAACAGCCCTTCGAAGTAATTTTTTGCGAGAGTACCGGAGGGTAGTTTCGAGAAATACCATAAAAAAAGATTGCATTCCTTAAATCTAAGGACAAGAAGACCTTTAAGAGTGCCTTTTATCACACACAAAGCTGCACGTCTCCAATGGGCTCAAGCGCACAGGAACTAGCCTTTCACCACAATGGCGCAACGTCCTTTTTTTCGAACGAGTCACGATTTGACCTACAGGGTGATAGCCGGCAGGAAAGGGTCTGGAGTGATCCAGGCAGACAGGGACGACTTACTTTGGCAAGAGGTATTATTCCCTATCAAGGCGGATTAGTGAGGTGTTGGGAGGTATAATGTTTGGTCATCGCCATAGACATCTGGTCACCGCACCCCACTTATTTTGATTGAGAAAACTACGACAGGTACGCTGAAAACATTATTTAACCAATCAATGAGCCTTTGCGCCACGAATTTGGAAACAATTTTATTTTTCAAGACAAAAATGCCAGACCGCATCGCATGCAAAGGATACAAAACATGCTGCAGGAAGGAAATATCCAAATCATTAACTTGGAAGAGCAATATCCAATCGAGAAAACCCCCCTTTAACTCTCCAGGACTT